AGAAGGTACAGAACTATTATTTAAACCGCTTGTCCAACCAACAAAAAATATTGTTACAACAACCAGGGCAACACAAAAAAGCTCTTGCAACATTGCCTGTTGATATTGCTGCCTTATTCAAGCTGCTCAACCACAACCCGTTCAACTTCCTCAACCATGAAGAATCAGAACTAAGATAATATATAAATTTACGCCTGAAGGTATTGCTGCTATCAGGGACCAAAACCAATTAATTTGATATTGCCGCGTTTGGATATTTTGAAAGACATAAATACATAAAGTCAGAACATGTTGAATTTCTAAGCTCTGCCAATTGGATCAAGGATTTATATCGCATATCTACTGGTATTCCAGAAATTAGATCTAATGAAGAAATTAGAGGTTATAACAGATTTGGTGAAATTGTAAATAAATATATAGAAGAAGTTGAACAAGGTAAACGATCATCATCGCCACCACAACGATCACTACATGTACTACCACAACAATCTGAACCACCATCACCACAACAATCACAACGACTACAGCAAAAGCCACAACGAGAACAAGAACAAGAACAAGAAACATTGAAACGATTGTAATCACCGCAACAACGATTTAGAACAGCAGAAGAAGAATTTCAAGACGCTCCAGGCGCAACTAGAAATGGTCTTATTAGTTGCCCCAATAATGTCCTTGCTGATGTCGATCGACTAGAAATCCTCATTGGAGGATAACGAGCTGGTAATAATTCATCAGAAATCATTAATGAAGCAGCTGATATTTGCAAACGGTTATTTACAGGCGGTATCATGGATATTAATATATATCGGTCCCTCACTAATGAAATCACCGACTACCACAGTGATTAGATACAATTAGTGATAAAGTACTTAATAAAAATGACCGTGTATGGTACTCAACGTGGACCTACCATTGTCAGGGTAATAAATGCTCGATTACCGGTATACGAAACAACCTACGGAAATGGACTAGTTGATGTTGTTCAGGATCTGTCGATCCGCGAGGTCTGTTTAAAATAGCCCTAAAAGCAATACCGATTGCAAAGAAACTAGGAATGGAAGCTATTGATGTTGTTCGTGTAAAAAGTATAGGCGCTGTTGGTAATATTGCTAGCAAAGCATTCTCAGCAATCAAAGATAGACTAAAACGATTAATACGCAGTCCACAAGCGCTCCGATCTCAACAAGTAAAATTGGCCAGCACTGAAGAGATGCCCGCAAGTGAAAGTAAAATAATAAATCAAGCTGATAATCAAAAACTAGCAGAGTCGGCTGATATACCAAAAGAAAAAAAAAATATAACCGCTAGTCTGATAGTTGGAAGTGGTCTCACTTCCCGAAATGGTCTTTGTCTTAGACGAAGATGATAATAATTAAGATGTTTAAGTGCATATCTGACCCCGCGTTTGACATGGATGCACCAGTTCTCAAAGATGAATCTGTGCGCGATTAATTATCAGTATTATTCTTATGACGCACGAATGCCATATTAGAGAGGACGAATCGAACTACATATCCAAGATACAAGTAGATATTTCTTATTTTTCTTACCCGATGAAGCGTTTATTAAAGTCGATGGTGAAATTTTGAAATCGGATAATACTGAATATGTAGCCGATATTAGTGTTGGTTTTGTTAATAATGGTATTATGGCGTTAATTGACAGCGTTACGTATATGATTGACGGAAAAAGTATTGAATAAATTCAGAAAGACGTTGACGTTGCCACGACAATACTCGTTATTGCAAGATAAAGCGACGGTTGCTCAAGATCAGCTGGTCCATCAATGATGTTTGTAAAGGATACCTCTAATTCTCCAGAGTACCAACAGTATGAAATTGCACGACCACAGAACGCTGCCAATGAAGCTAAGCGATCAAAGACTGAGGTAAGACTTAATCTTTCCACTTCTCGCAGCTATACCAGCATTAATAGCCACTGAAGCCCCAGCTGTTGCAAAATCAGCTGCGCTAGGCGCTGTTGGAATCGCTTCTGGAATGGCGTTAAAGAAAGCAACCGGACAGGGAATAAAAATCTCAAAAATATACCAGCATTAATAGCCGCTGAAGCCCCAGCTGTTGCAAAATCAGCTGCGCTAGGCGCTGTTGGAATCGCTTCTGGAATGGCGTTAAAGAAAGCAACCGGACAGGGAATAAAAATCTCAAAAAAGGGAAGCGGTTTAAGATTTCCGGGGACCCCGCCTCGTGGTACGGAAACGGTCTAAGACTAGGAACAGTTCGATTATATTTCCACTATCAAGTTTTATTTACTTGATGCAACTAAGCAACTAAAAATAAAAAATTGAGATTTTATGCGCGGTCAATTGCCAAAAGAACCCAACAATATTGAAACCGATATTATTGTTCTTGATAAAAATTCTGGGCCTGGCACTCATTGGGTGGCATATGCAATTGATCCACGTGGAATTGTCTTCATTATGTTAGCAATAAAATTGCTCCAATCTGGTATTCAACACTGCCAACACAAACATTATCTGATCCCCTAATATGTGATCGAGAAGTACTTAATGTACTTGATGCTGTATCAAAATCAACAGCGCCACCTCATAAAGTCGTGCACCACGTTCACTGCTGAACGGACGATGTCGCATTTAAACTGACACTAGTAACCATAATGGTTGATATTTATGGAAGATCTCAGAAGTAAGAAAAGAGTGTCGACTTATCTAAATACGCAACTCTTGATCAACTTAGAAATGATCTCGATGATTTATTAAATATCATTATTGTGGATCAAAACGAAGTCGTCGTTTTTCAGGATAAACAAGGATGATTAAAATACATACATTGATTGATCAGCAATTATAGTCGTATATGCATGTACATTTGCTTGATGACTCTTGGAGCCTCCTGATTTTCATAAGAGGCCAGAGGACCCACCCGGAGGGTGGGCCTCCAATACCCTACTCCGTGGTTAGCCATCAGTTAGGATCCACGGGAAGGGACTTGACCCAGGGCTGGGTCTTATCGCATCGTACCAGACCTTAAGACCTTGACGTTCAATACACAGATACAATCAAAGAAGCCCCCAAAACCAGCAACAGGACAAACGCGCCAAGAAAGCCGCCAACAAAGCCACACCCATCGCACTATGACCTGAGGGGTTCAGTACAATTGCAATTGATCCACTTCTGTTGTAATCTTCTTTATATTTCTCGGTGGATTGCAAATTGTTTTACTATAGATGTTATCTTCTTTATAGTCTGTTTTTCTTTTGTAAGAGTATGAGTTAGGTGCATTGCAATTTATCCACTTCTGTTGTAGTTTTCTTTATAGTTCTCGGTTGATTGCAATGTTTCCGCAGTATGTAATATCTTCATTATAGTCTGCATACCTCCTGTCGTTGAAAAGTGTAGAATATGTTATTGCAATTTATCCACTTCTGTTGTATACCTCTTGATATATCTCAGTTGATTGCAATTTCTCTTGTTGTAATCTTCGTTATAGTCTGGAAAACCTGTTGTTGGTTGTTGTAGATAGTGTGGAACCCCAGAGCCGCTGTAAAGGGGGTTATGAGGGGTTTAGGATTGATTGGCTCCGGGGTGTATCTATTTCATGACATCACAGCACGCCTCAAGGCCGCCCAAACACACCGGCAGCAAGCAAAAGTCGTTGGTGGTTAGTATCACCATATTTATTAGAGAAATGTATAGCCAAACATGAGAATATCTCATACGGGTCAAATAACCTAAGTTGTGAATATTTTTATTTATTTGAAAGTTGGTGATTTGTATACCAAGCGTAAGAATGTCTAAAATTTTGTCAAAGTGGTGGGTCGGAGTGTCCCTTAATTTTTTGTTTTCAAGGTTGATAAAAGGGGAGTGAATTAATATTTACCAATCAGGTTTCAAGGGCCAAGCAAAGTTGTAAATCAAAAGTGGGCTCAAGTGGGTCAAAAATTGAGTCCTTTTTATATGACAAAAACATATAAACAATATATCACCACAGTAAACAAAGGACAAAACATGCCATGGTAAGAAATCGTTGTTCTGTGCGAGCTTACAGACTTTAGGATCCTACCCAGGTATTTGCTAGTATGTGTTCCTAGCACCTGTTGAACGCCGACAAATAGAGTAGACAGGACGGTGCAACATATATGGGTTAAATGTATTCATCGAGTATAAAAATACATACAAGTTGTACTTATACGATTTCCCACCGCGGTTATTAATAATATCGTTACTTTTTCTGATCAAGGTAAAATACAGGATTCCGGTAAGTCGGTTAAGAACTATGTTTAGAAAACCGGTGATTTATTTATTGGTGACATAATAATGTCAGGAAACAAAGTTACATAGCTCGAAAACCAACCGCAGCTAATGACGCAACAACAAAAAATACGTCGACGATAGCAATAGCGATCAAGTGACAGCAATAACAACGATCAACAATGAAATTGCCACACTCAAAACTGGTTTCACCAATCACACAGGCACATTTCTAAATGTTCGTAGAAATATAAACAGATCCCTTAATGAATTTTTTGGAACTCCACCAACCGTTGACATCAAACTCGTTGACAATAACCCGAAACTAAACGATATTATTATCGGAATTCCTGATATCATTGAAAAAACGAATCTTATTAAAATTCCTCACAAGTAGATCATCAACACCGTGTATGTCGTTGCATCAGGCTCAGCTACATGGACACAACGAAATAAAACCATCAAACACACAGCGGAGGTCTCTGGTGTATATAGGCTGACTGTGTTTAGCGGTGTAGAATTTAGAATAATTACCACATCTCCATTAGCTAATAATTTGTCTAAAACTGTGATAAGATGTGATTATGATTTTAACGTAGCTTTAACAATTTTTCAGTCATATCGCTACGATGTCTGCAGTTTGGCAGTTTATAGTGATGTATAGCACTGGGGCATCATGCCGCAGACATGTAGCAGTCCTAACACTAACCTCTTAATGCTGAGCGCCAAGCGAGGAAGCTGTTAGTACCATTTTTGTAAGTCTTTAGTATGCCTCGACCGTGGATTGAACCAAATACCTCCCGCATCCGAAGCGGTCGCTCTAACCACTAGGCCACCGGAGCGGTTGATAAAGAGTTGGAAGAAACGTTTACGTTGGAATCATCGGATAGAAATTTGGCCTCGGCTGGTGGTGTCTGGAATTTGTAACTAAAGCTCCTCAATTAAATATCTAACGTCATTATGTATAATGAATCAAATGACAGAGTCACTCATTGACTTTCAACGTCACAGATATAATCAGGCGTGTGTCAGACTGAACTAAAATATATCATTGACGATAACAGCGTGAACGTAAATAAATATCATAGACGCATGGTTGCTATTGATATAGTAGTTGACTCTGTTTCTGCTGTTGTTGCTGGAACCATATTATTATTATTATTATTATTATTATTATTATTAACGTTAACGTTGACGGCTTCTGCGGTTTTAACGATAACAATTTCTACGACAACATGTGCAGTTATTCTCAATATTATCGGTAAGTAAATATCCACACCCGCGAGCGATAAATTACACGAGTACATGATGAAATTACAAACAGCAACAGCCGCCTACATTAAATTATGCTCGTTTCTTTTCTTGTATCTCAGTGATGGTACAATATCTGATGAGGAGTTCGTAACGATAATGAAAACATACGATGAAGCATTCATAATCGCTGGTGACAATAACCAGAGCGAAAAATTGAGAATTAAATAATAATGATAATACTAATCAGCAAATGATTTACTGGTATTTCCGAATAAGAATTAACCGGATGGAACACCTGATGGCAAGTTGTTGGAATTTCAACGGATATTCATCAAATAGACCAGACTAATGATGAGTTCCAACGTAGAAATAAATCTATTAAAAGGAAAAAATTCTAAAATAGCGATCACTGTTTAAGAGCCAACGCTATCAGCTATGATTGAAATAAATTCTCCTGATTATCAGAGTTCGATCAGATCAGTGTTATAATGGCCTGAAGTTGAACCTGTTTATAATGGAGTTTCAGAAGCAACTAAAATGAATTTAAAACAAGTGAATAAAAATTCATTAAGAATCCAGAATATCGAGAAAAACATCCATGGATATATATATATATATATATATATATATATATATATATATATATATATATATATATATATATATATATATATATATATATATATATATATATATATATATATATATATATATATATATATATATATATATATACATATTAAAACTGATCCAAACGACAATGATTATTACTTTACCGATTTTGACGGTGAAAGAAACCCCAAGATAAATAGATCACCATTTACTGTTATCGTCGACACCAATATACAGCGTAGTAGAGATATTGTTGATTAAAGATTTTTTAAAAAGATTTTTAGATACTCTTAAACCCGAATACGATAAAACGTTGAATGATTTAAGAAATTAACTTATTTCATTATCACATTATGATTATAGTGTAAAGCAGCAAATAATCGAGTCAATAAATCATTTAAATGGGATCTTATTCGATTTATTCGTCGCCAATCGAAGTATCATAAACGTTGTTCCAACACTCAATGGAAATCTTTACACAAGTCTAGAATCTAAGCAATTATTTCTTAATTATTATAAAATAACAGAAAGAGAATTTCACACATTTATTATACCAGATTTAAATAAGGCTGAAATGAAGAAATCATTAACTGATCTTATTGAAGAATATTATCAAGGGGGTAATTGAATCATGGAGACAAGTAGCACCACCACCAAATATATTGAAATCTAATAACAACCCTTTTGGTGCCGGTTGTCATATATCGCCGGTCATATCAGGACTTTTATACGCGACATCATGAATGTGACACGCTTGATCAATCTTATTTACTGGAATCTCTCCAGGTTTTTTGTTGACCTTGGTTATAGAGTCTGATATCTAGACGAGTTCCAGGACTAAAATAATTATATCCCAGAAAGTGTTTCTCACCGGGGTATTTTGGCCATGGAGTTTCTGGCAATTTCCCTAATGAAGCAGCAATATCACCACCACGCACTATTTGCAACGCGGAAATAAATTTATATTTTTTTGTACCACATTTTGCACACTTGCCTGTGAATGCGCGTCTCTTATTTTTTGTTGTTATCGTTGTCAATAAAACGGTGAGGGATGTTTCTCTACCATTATCATATGGATATAATTGACTTTTCTGCGACAAGAAAACAAGAGCCAGTAAGGCACCATTCAACGTTACCAAATTCTATCAAAATGATTTTAATAGGCCCATCTGGATCTGGTAAGACATAATTATTGCTTAATCTGATAATGCGATGGCTCAAGTGGAATAAGTTGCATTTAGTAGCGCTATCTATAGATGATCAACGATGTTACGAAGTACTTAAAGATTTTAATCAAAATGCGAAATTACTGGACGAAGACAAAAATGATATGATTGATTTTATTACCGATATTGATGAAGCTCCATCCATAAATGACTTAGATGGATTCATTAATAACCTCGTAGTGTATGATGATGTGATGCTGGACATACAATCCAATCCAGCTAGAATATTTTCTCGAGGTAGACATAAAAATACTGACGTGATTTATGTTACTCAGAGATACACGCAAATACCCAAAGTGATCAGAGATAACCGTAATATTTTGGTTGTATTTAATATCATAGATAATTATATTTTGCAAAATATATATTATACTTGGTGTTCAGAGGATATGGATATGATTAAATTTATTTTGTTTTGCTAAGGCACAAGCTTTTCCGTTTGGATTTATAACGATAAACTTACATGATCCAACATCAAGGTATCGTGTAGGTTTATACAAAATCTTTGGCCACTGATTTTTTTTTTCCATAGAAGCAGAGAGGCTGAACGACCAACGCATAATGACCAGATTGTGAATAAGTCGAATAAAAAATCTGGTCAATTAGAGAAGTTTTCATTGTTAAGGTAAACACTTTCTTTCAGCCTTAGTAGGAACCTTTAGTTTTCAAAAATAAGGTCTCTAGCAAAGTCGTCTGTTCATCCTCTCTGCTGATATTCTATACGAATATTGATACCATTCTTCCACAAGCTCAATGCTTGTACACATTTCTATTTATTATTCTTGTGCTGTTACATCATATACTTATAGTTTATATTTTCACTTATTGCTGCTATCCCATCCATCAATGTTTTTTGGAATATACATTTTTTCTCGACCTTGTTTACATTTAATGATGTATATTAAATGACATGCGTAATACTAATTAAAATGTATTTTTAAGCTATTTTTGTTTGGTCCACTTTTTGTTTTAGCTGTTTGTGCAGGTATCATAGCTATATCTACCACTTTTTATAAAGACGTTTTGCCGATATTTCTACTGCTGTTAATATGGCCGTATTTACCGTTCAGATTTGATCTAGCTGCTTCAACTTATGTTTCACCTGTGGTTTAGTGGTTGGAAAAGTAGCATTTATTCCTCTTGAAATTGTTGTTTTAACGTTATTCAATTTTTCATCATGACGTTTTGTTTTAAGTTTTTATCAGGATACCACAAAGATCCATTTTTAATTAGTTATATCGTCTGCTTCTTATTCGTTTCGTATCTTGACTTTTCAATTTTATCAGTATATCTTCCAATCATTTCCTTTAACAATTTGTTTCATTTTATACTGTTTTAAGATCAATATCAATAATAAAATCCGTCTCGAATTCCTATATTAATGTCGTAGTTAATTGTGTTGGTACAATACATCATCAAATTTTGCCAGAAGATCCTAACTCCAAGCAAATAAATATATGATGTGGAATAATACACTTAATTTTCAAATTCTATTAGCAGTTGTAGTTACTAAATATATTTCTGTATCTGCTAGTCCTTCCACTATAATAAAACAATAATCCGTTATTTATTATTTCTGTTTTGATGTTACTTATTATGTGTTATTGGAGCTTCATTTTTGTTAAAGTATTGTTAAATAATAATGTAAGGTCTTCGTGTGTTGTTGCTTTCTTACCGAGTAGTAAGCTCGCCATTTATTCTATCTTTGTTGACCTTAATCCCTTAAAATAATTTTCTCGTTATATAACCTATAATGACTCATCTTAAAGCTTATCAATCACTTGTTATTACACAAACACCAAATGGGGTCAATAAGGGTAACTACTAATTTACTTGCTACTCCTAGTATCCCAATGAAGCTGTTGTTATTCTTATAAAACCTGAAAAATCTCTAATGTTATATAGGCATTTCATATTGCATCTCTGCTTTCAATCGATGCAGGGTTTACAATGAACCTGCCGTTTGTGTAGACGATCAACTTTTTATATTTGTTGCATTTTATATATTTAAAAGTCGATTGTTTTTTTTTTGCTAAGCTGTAATTTTAGATGATACACGTTTTACTTTTTGCTTTATGAAATATTCTATTTTAGTCTCATTAAGAGGCATCGCAATTATTAAATTTATCTTCAATGATGCAGTTCTAATTGATAACCTAAACATTTTCTTCGGAAGAATGCTATATAAAACTGACAGTATCTGATTCAGCGGAGAGTGATGCTTATTTGGTTAATATTGTTTATAGTCATTACTGATACTGTTCTAATAGTTATTTGATAATGTAGAAACGGTTTTATGAACACAATGCAAAATTTATTTAGAAAAAGTTTTTGGTTAAAACGTTTTGTTATTAGGTAATCACCTGCAACATAAGAGACATTGGAATTCTTAACATTGCAACTTCATTTGTATTAATTGGAACACATAATAAAGTTGGATAATTCAAACTATTCTTTAGGAAAATGTTAAATGCAAACTTTACGTAGGCACGTTTATCATATAAATTGAAATATACTTCATTTTATCATATCTAACATTGATTTTATCGTTCATGTATGATACTTAACGCATATCTTAAAATTGATAACATTTCAACATAAAATGGATGCAAATCAATTTTAAGCAATTATTTATGTTACGTGATCTCTAATATGATCATATATTACAGATATAGTATTTTATTTTAAAAAACTTGTAAGACATATAAGTGTAATATATTTTCATTCAATTGTTAAAATGAACGTAGAGG